CTAGATTCCTTATTGTTGGTGTTGTCATTATCGTGACATGCATGTCGTCATTAATATTACTATTATTATTATTATTATCAATATTATTACCACCACTGTCACTACTATCATTATTTATTTTATTTTTACATTTACTTACATATTTCTTGACTAATTTATCTAGGTAATTATTAAGTTTCAAGGCTTCTTCTATGTGTACCACTTCCTGTCTTAGATTTCCCTCGGTACTACTTATTTTATGCTCTATTATTTAAACATTTCACCAATCCTAATTTTACTGACATAGATTGGGTGGGATGATCGGAAGTCGAAGTATGTTTTTGAATGTGTGGGTTTTCTGTAAACACTAGTGGCTAAATTCTCATCTTCTTTCTTCTTTACGTTACAATCTCACATTGGAGGTTCCCCTTCTCCACTTTCCAGTTCATGATTGAATTGAATTGAAAATTATGCTGCCCCTACACAAATAGGAAAGAATAAAAGGAGACCTTAAACCTCAAAAGTTTCTAAGTTGTGTGATTATAAATGACATGATTATGAATAACATAATAAACTGTGTTCGAAACTTCGTCATCCAGTAAACACTAATACTGTTTCACTGACTGTGTGACATATCTAATAAATAAATTAATATGGAATTACTTACTACCACAGTGCTTAGTTTTACACACAAATTAATATTACACATTTTAATATCACAATTCTTTATCACAAACTATTTACTGTGGGTGTGAAGTCCTCAAAACAATCAGTAGATAACATCTGGATTAACAGGCGCCAGTTTAATTCGTTAGGCTTCCACTACAGTCAAATTTCTAGTGGGAAATTTCAGTGTAAATAAATCAAGCACTGAGAATTTATTACCTAACATTTATGAGTTCTGGATCGTCATGTCAGTGTCATTTACCAAGACACTATATATTAATAAGACCACATGAATATTTCAAAAATTAGTCAAGAGTATCATTAAAAAAATCTGAAAGCCTTCATTGCAACAAGAAATGTATGGTCATCAAATTCCCATGGTAGACACTAGTGATCGATAATGAGTATTGTTAATGATACACACACTAAAAAGAAGTACTTATCAATTTACGCAGGATATTCTAGACGCTAAACTCCTGTGTCAATTGTTTTCAGTCTACATCAGAAAGAAGGGCATACCTACGATTTTCTGAACATGTACCAAAACGCTTTGTCTAAAGGGAACAAATGCTTTAAACAGTGCCATTGCCAGGCATCTCCTTAACACGGGTAATCAGGTGGACGTCACAATATCGTTCGAAGTTATGAATAAACAGAAGGGTTCCATTCTCTTCAATTTTGCTGAAGTCATCTCCATCAAGCACCTAAAACCTGATTTATGCGTTCAGAAAGAAACAGTTATCAGTCTTTCTTTGGCAACCTGGTAACTGGATATTTTCATCTCTCTTTCGTCTGATTACGTAATGCCGAAGTTTCCATTGTGCATGATCATTATTACTGGAATGGTGTTTAATATTACATACATATATAATATATATTATTGTATGCATATAATTATTGATTGATTTTTGTTTAAAATGAACTCTGTGCAAGTATGTTAGAATTATTTCTGTAGGTATATTTAATAATGACTTGGGCCTGTAAGCAGCTGATGAAAAGCCAACAAAATAACGAATGATGGTACCATTTTATTCTGCAAAAACTGTTGTTCTTGCTTTATTCAAATTCATTAAGGGGAATAAATGTATAAACAGTTGTGTAGCTACACCAATTCAGTTCAGAAAAGAGTGTTTGCAAACACAACAATTACCATACTAGATGGTTGGAGGCAATCGGCCACAGGAAGACTTGCCTGACCAAGGTTTTGTGCTGGTTGGCACTAATCAGCAAGACGTATCTGCAACCTTGAAAGAACTTATGCCCCTTCTGAGAAGTTATCACTGAGCTACTCAGAATCACGATTCACCTCCTGTAGGACTGTATTGGATATCTTTTTAATTGGACAGTATTCAGTAATTAGTGTAATTTGTCTAGTCCTCTCTTCGGTACAGACTGAATTCTATCGTATTTGACAGCTTTCTAAGTACATCTGTGTTATGTCTGTCAATTTATGGACCCTAAAATAGGGACGCCTAGTTGGCCACACACTCTGATCACGAATACCAGTTGACATCGCTAACAGCACTATACAACAGCTACCTGTTTCCGTAGCCCACATCACTTAAGAGAGAATACACAATGACATGAGCCGTAAAGTATATTTCACGCAATAATTTATTGTTCAGTATGTCATCAAGGTTATGTCAGTTAGTTTGTAATCATGACTGATAAAATAGTGGGCGTCATTTCACGTTGTCCAGCTCTGATTGGTATTTTCCCAGATAGATCAACCAGTCAATCTGTCAACGGATAGGAATCGGTTTAAAGGCTTTCTGTTCAAAATTTTTCTACAGCTTGTCTCACAACGGTCTGAAACTCAATTGTTTATTTATTACTTAACTTGTATTTGCATTTTTTCTGCCATCCTTTTGGTTTTTGCCTTTACGTGTTCATAGCTATGTGACACAGGACATAAATCGACCGCGAAACCCAAATCTTCTACAGCCTCCGTATTAGTCCACTGTATTGTTGCTTTCTCGCTGCCCACTCACCGCATGCAGCATAATCCAGTTCACCACAGCTAGGAATATCATCATCAGTGATGATAGGGAGCCTTGTCTGGGTCATGTCTTCAATTCAAAGGTGTCACTGGGTTTTCCGTTATGAATCACTTGACACATGAATGAGGTTGATAAAGATTTGGGGTGGTGCACTCAATAGCATTGAAGTAGTTTCCAAATTATTTCACATTCAGCACCGTCTATCAAAATTGTTTTCAAAGTTGGTGAAGTTGAGTTAGGCTTCTATTCTGCGCTCCGCTGTGTGATATTGCATACAGTTGCAGTTTGATTACCCCATTACTTTCTCTTCCTAAATCCAACTTGTTCCGGTGGGAGTTTTGCATCCACTGCATCCTAGTATTTCCAGGGTGACGCAACTTAATATTTTGTCTGGCGCAGACAGGAACATGACTCCATATCAATTCTCGCAGAGGCCTAAGTCAGCCTTTTTAGGTAGTTTGACAAGGTGGCCATCCTTTCTTTCAACTGGTAGGTACCTTTCCCTCCTTCCAAACTTTACGCAATAGTGGCGTCAACGTATTCACTGAGATCTTTGGATCCGTTTTAAGTGCTCCATATTAGTTACATTATATATAGAAATCAGAGAAACGTTTTCTGGAAATAATTCAGCTGTAGAATTTGCCTATTAACTTACATACAAACAGTTAAAACTTGAGAATCAGGAAAGCGTTCATTATATATGAAGCAGAATCAGACGTCGGGGAACTACCATATCTCGACTGCTTAGTTAAGATGAGGGGAAATGGATATTTGAGTATATCTATATTCTGGAAGAAAACCCACTCCAAAAAAAAAACAGTTAGACTTCGGATCATCACACCCCATCAACGCAAAGATATCAATTGTTTCAAGTCGTCTTAGACGAGCACACTCTCTGATATTAACGGATGAGAAGGAAAAAGAAGAAGATATATCAAACATTACTGAGACTCTCAAGCAAAACAACTACCCGAGGAACTTCATCAACAAAATCAACACAGACATTAAGAATGGCCGAAAACGTATTCCGAAAACATGGACCTCAACAGTCGTCATTCCATATAGAGCAGAGACTTCAGGAGATATTAGAAGAGTACTCAATCAGCTCGACATTAGAGTTTTCTTCAAGACATCAGACACACTTCAAAGCAACCTTGTCCATATAAAAGACCAAATCCCGAAAGATTCTCTATCTAATTGTGTCTATAAAATAAAATGCTTGGGATGTATTGCGATATACATTGGACAAACATCGCCGGAGAGAAATCGAAATCAGAAGAAATAAACACCCTAGAGCATCTATTCATCAGTCAAAAGTGGTCTACACGCTATAGATTCAGGCCACGAAATTGATTTTTGGCAATATTGAAATAATCCGGAAAAAGCATTTCAGAAATCACAAAGAATGTCTCATACCTATTAGAAGCACTTCATATCAAGTGGTATCCAAATTGTCTGATGAACAGGAATGATGGACTAAAACATAATTTGACCTGGTTACAACACCCTCGCCCAAACCTCCATGAAATGACAAAATCAGCACGGATGTGATAAGCAATTTCATTATGTAAATACATACTGCTTTTACAATTTTACACACTTATCAAATCCAACAATCTACACTTGGTTTTGTACCATTTACCGATTGGCTAACTTGAGAAAGCAAAAAATGTCCCATAATGAGGGACAATGATTAAGTGGTTATATATAAGCTGAGATTGTGTAAATTCTGGTTTAATAGTACCACTTTGATAAAGCTGTTAGCAACACTGAATAGCGAAACATCAGTTAAAACAACCATATCTTTTTGTTTTTCATTCATGGGAAATACAAAAAAAACTTTATTATAATGAATATCATGTATCCAATGCCCAATTTTTTTCAAACTGTTAAAAGTGAATTTAGTTTGGACATATATAATATATGAATATTTTCTAAACCATAATTTATTACTTTTTATTTTATTCTTTTGTGTTCCGAAAGGAAAATAGGACTTCACACTTCAGCCTTTAAGTTTCGGTAGCTGTAATTTCATTTTTATGGGGTGAGGTTGCTAGCCCTACACTCCACATTCTCTCTTTACCAGAATACTAACAGCTTAGCTAGGTATACAGAGTCTGTCGGGTGGGAATCGAACCCATCGGACAACTTGCGTGACTGATAACCCTAATTAATAAGCACAAAGTTTACTGAACGATTCTAGGCAAATTACCCTTCAGATATTAGTATAAAGATACATTTAGTTCATGTAAAAATGAACTGTACTCATAATTCTTTTGATAACATAAACATTGGCATTCACAAAGTTAAAGAAGTGTTTCTCATGATATTTATTCTCTTCTTAAATCTAACTAGTTTGTATTGTAATCGCCCAACTGGCAGTCTATTCCAATTTTCTGACTGATATTTATCAATGGAATCCAAGTATACTGAAAACAATCATGTTTATTGCCTATGATATGACTTTATTCTCATATGATGTACTCAAAGTATGGAGAAGTTATGCTGCACCGAATGATGTCAACTCAATAATGAATTCTGCATTTGTACTCACTTCACATCCGTATGGATCTAAGCTACAATTAACTAATGATTATTTAAATCAGGTAAGATTATTGATTTTTAATTTTACTATTCCCTATCGCATTATATCAAGCCTACTAAAAGTTTTAGAATTACTGTATTGACGAGTGTGCTACACTTAACACTTAGGAATACATTCCTATTTCTCAGAAAGAAAGCAATACACCGTGTATAAAGGGAAGTCATCCACTTCATTGCCTACTGAAGCTGGTATCCCTCAAGGCACTGTCCTTTCTCCTTTTCTTTTTTCTTTCTTCTTACATGACTTGCCTCACTCTGATGAAATAAACTTTGTGAAGTACGCTGATGATTTGACAGTTTCAATGGCTGTTAACTCCCAGCTAGATTGTAACAAAATGAATAGCTTTCTGTCGGGAGTCAGTAAATCGTCTGAGTCTAACGGTCTTCAAGTGAATCCTTCTAAATGTCAAACTGTTAATTTCAGTTTAAGATGTAAAAGACAGTTAAAAGAAGTCGTCGATTCTCATGACAGTTGTAAGATTGACGACAATCATATAGGAATCAAATCAGAAATTAAGTATCTTGGACTCATTCTCTCTTCTGATCTCTCCTGGTCTTCCCATGTCTTAGCGACCTCCATTAAAATATTCCGCCTTACATTTTACATTAAGAAGTTAAGGCACTCGGGTATAAATCAACCCCTCCTCCTCTTACAGTTCATAAACTCTTGCATCCTACCTATTCTCCTTTATTGTTCACCCTTATTCTTTCCTGGTTTGCTTAAAAAAGACTATGTAACAATTCGTAGAATACTGAAGACTGTGAGAACGGTGAATGGTGTCCCAGTGGACCACATAGTTAACATTAATGTTGATAGGCACTTGACTTTGTGCAATAAATTTGCTAAAGGGACTTTGTCCGACTTGTAGCATCCACTTTACTTTGCGCCTCATCAGGTTTGAATAAGAAGTAACTTCAGAAAACTGTATGCTCGCACATCTAAGTATAGAAATTCTATGATACCATTCTTGGCACGCATTTTATGTGATGAAAATAGTGTCAGGCAAGAATTAACTAACCTTTTTTCCTCTAGTAAATAAACAACCTCCTCTATCCATCCTTATATACCTTCAAGTTTCACTTTTATTATTTCTATTATATTTATGGTCCTGTTGCTTCTTTGTTTTACTCTTATAATTGCAATCAACATATCATGTAAAGAAAACATTATATTCAATATTTTTAAACATGCTAGGATTTCTGTACCGCATTGACAATACTGTGTGAAACAAGCCCACGGTAATTTTCACTTGTGTTATTATTATTACCTTAGCTGTTATCATTAGTAATATTATTTTCATTTATATGCTGCATGTTTTTGACATTACCCCTATTGGAAAATTTTCTGTGTGAATAATTTTATTTACAATTTGAGCCAATTAGATGTAATATTGTGATTAATGCTGAAAATTCCATTCTGTATCACAAGTACTGTTTTTGGAATAAAGTAAATCATTATTATTATTATTATTAGATCCAAATTCGAAGTGCTAATTTCGAATGAAAATAGGGCAGACAGAACAAGGGAAGAAGCATACCCAACCCACAACAACAACAACAAACACGAGTCACTAACTCTTATCTAGGCTGTATGGACTTCAAAGGCTTCAAAGCCAGGATCCTAAAAACAACTTAAACCTTCGGTAGTCTGATATCATTGTGAAAGTCTACTGTGCCAAGCATAAAGAACCAGATTCAGATTTTCAGTACCAATATCATTTCAGTTCTTTTATATGAGTGAGTGACTTGGTGTGTCACCAGTAGCATTTCCAACGGACGAATGAAGACTCTTATCAATACTGCCTCTGTCTTCACTGCATACTTAAGACCAAATGGTAGGGCAAAAAGGGTTAGCAGAAACGAATTCGGAGAATCAACCAAGAATAGAACCGACTGTACAACAAATATTATGAAAGAAATGCAAATGCATCAGACAAACGTTGAGGAGACCGTCGAATGGCATCAAGCACCAAACCATCTATCGAGTGGAACGCGAACTGGAAACTATGAGTTAGTCACTGGTCATGGCCAGATATTCAACGCTAAAGTCAGGAGAATATAGTGGAGATAGAGGTGATGAAGTTAACCAACAATCAATAACAAAAAGAAGCACCAATCCCTTCCAACAGAAGAAATCTGAAGGAAGACACTTCCTTCAATTACTCTGGTAGCGTTGTTTCAAGTAGAGGCAAATAGCACGGATGAAGATGTAAAGTTAGCTAGGATCAGAGACCCAAGACAGACCTTCATCACTCCGAAATCAGACTGGGAATCCACTGAAATGAACGCAAACAACAACATTCGGATTTTCAGTACTAATGTGAGACTAGTTCTTCGATATGGTCCAGAAACTTGACTTTCACGTGAAGGAAAACATTTCTGAAAGGCTATTGGATAATTTCATTGACAGCTGTCTTCACTGGCTCCACAGTGAATATCAAGTGACCAAGCGGAAGGGTAGGCGAAAGGAATCTCTGGCGATGAACAAAATAAGAACCTATTCCCTTACCAATGTGGAGAAGAAAATGGCGATAGATCAGACAAATTCTGAGGAGAACATTTAGTGACATCGTGCGCCAGACCATCACTTGTGTGGAACTCTAATAGGAAACGAAGAGTTGAGTACGGCCTCCTGGGTTATATGGAGGGTGTCATGTGACAAGTAAACGGCAGTTTCCGGGGAACCATGAAACCAATTATAAAAGAACTCATAGAATAGTGTCGAATAATATCAGGTTAGATGAAAAAGTTATATCCTATGGATTAGGCAATTTCAACCTTAAAATAAACTGTTAGAAGGGACAGAATCAAACATGGCTTTCACTGTTAATCTTTGTTAAAAATCTATACAATTTTGGTAAAACTGTAACATACACACTGACATTTATCTTCTGGACTCCTACGTGACACCATTTTAACCAGGATGTACAATAATACAAACTCAAGGTGCAGACCTGCTTTAATTACCAGGTTGACAAAATTTCCATTCATCATAATGCCTTAACTCTTCTGCATTTCTTATTAATTTATTCACACATTTATATATCTACTGATCGCTATATGAGCTAGAGCACAGTTTGAATTAGAATTCAAGAAAATGATGTGTAAATCCTAAAGGAAATGAATGAAAATGTGTCATGCAGAAGAATGGTTGTTTCTTCATAAGGAACAACACAGAGTAACATGTTATCCAGGAGAATCATTATCTACCTGTACATCCTATAATAAGAGGACATACTTTGCAGTAAAAGGCGTCGAGAATTTCTGTACTATATTTCAACATATTATATGAAATAAAGCTTTATTTATAAAGTTATATTTGTAAAATCTCAGTGAAATTGAAATGATTAATTCCAACATTTCGTTCGGCAATCCGTCCGAACTTCTTCACGGAAATTGATCGAAATTAACATAACAAAGGTTTATGTATAAAAGGAACACCTCTTGTTTTTAAAATTTTGTCCAATCATGAGCCATGCAACAGGTATCAACATGTATAATAAATAAATAAATAGAATTGTATGTTTATATATAAAAGTACATCTCTTGTTTTTAAATATGAATCAAGAAACAGCTATCAATGGGAATACTAAACAAAACAAAACAAAAATTGTATGAACTATGATCAAAAAACCTGCTGCTAAGAATTGGGTTAGTACAGCGGTGGTTCCTTACCGCAAAGAAACATCCGATGAAATAAAGCGAATCCTTAACGAACATAACATAAGAGTGTACTTTCCTGTATCCAATGCCTTACGCTCATTACTGGTGAAGGTTAAGGATAAAATAGAGCAAGAAAACCAGCAGAATTGCGTATACCAGATCAATTGTGGGGATTGTAACGCAGTATATGTAGGAGAAACTTCCAGGCAGGTAAATATAAGAGTGAAAGAGCATAAACAATGTCTAAAGGTGGTTCCAAAGACCTCTGCAGACTTGAAGAAGCTAGAAAACAACTCAGCGATTGCACTACATTCAATAGAAACGGGACACAAAATCGACTTTGATAAGACTAAAGTTTTACAGAAAGGTTTTGGTTCATATCAAGAAAGACTAACTGCAGAATCCCTACAGACGTGAAGGTGTGATGTTAGCCGATGCATGGCAAATCCTGACTAATAAGCAAAGTAAAATTTGATATATATGAACAAGTAGTCACACTTGGTCAAATTCCCGACTGTCTACGTCTTCTTATGGAAATAATAACAAATTTATAAAAATTAAATGATATTTGTAAAAGTCTCAATTATTTTGCAACTATCTGGTCAAATCTTGATCACAGCTCATATGAGAATAGCAAATGTTTTATGACTGTTCACTCACACACACATACACACACCATTGTATCCTGCATATACTGCATATACACATATATTTTAGATTTGAATAAGGCATTACGAAGACAAATTTCGCGAGATGATATCATTTCGTAGTTTCTTTACAACCGCTTTACAACTAACTTGGTTAACAATGATAAAATAAAGTTCATGACAATTACTCAGTTAAATAAAAAACAAAAGTACATACTAATGACCAATCATATTAAGATAGGTCATGCAGTCCAGGGTAGGCGAAGATTGAAGTCCATCGATTTTTGTACACACAGTTTAGGCTGTATGTGACTAATCCAAAGTGCTTCCATCACCTTCAATAACCTTGAATTAGAGTTATGTGAAATAATTGTGAAACAGTCATTAATATTGATTTTGTGACCAGACACTAATAAGTGTTTTGCAATGGATGATGCTGGATTTCTATTAAGATTAATCGCGTTGGGATTTTCGATATGATTTACTAGCCATTTTGGAATATGTTCTTTTCGACGACATTGGAACATTCTGTTAGTTCTACCTATATAGTTATCACCGCAGCTGCAGGTGAACTTGTAGATACAGTTTGAAGTAGAGTCCATAGAATTTCGTCCTTTAATCGTAGGAACAGGGATCGAAAATGTTCGGCAAGTGAGAAAAAGAGATGTGGCGGCGTAGAATGTGCATTTGATGGCTGATCGAAGTCTTTGAGTTGTCAACTGCATAATCTGGTCACCCTTGAATGGTAGATTAATAAAGATGGCTTCCTTTGGTACAGAAGCTGTATTTTCGAGATGTGGTTTTTCTTTGCTGTGACAAGTGATAGAAGTGATATATTTTAACAAAAGTAGACAAATTTTGAAAGTCTGAGGTCAAAAGATTTTTTGATCATAGTTCATACAATTTTTGTTTTGTTTTGTTCAGTATTCCCATTGATAGCTGTTTCTTGATTCATATTTAAAAACAAGAGATGTACTTTTATATATAAACATACAATTCTATTTATTTATTTATTATACATGTTGATACCTGTTGCATGGCTCATGATTGGACAAAATTTTAAAAACAAGAGGTGTTCCTTTTATACATAAACCTTTGTTATGTTAATTTCGATCAATTTCCGTGAAGAAGTTCGGACGGGATTGCCGAACGAAACGTTGGAATTAATCATTTCAATTTCACTGAGATTTTACAAATATAACTTTCTAGTCACGACTTCTCACTAGAACTCAGGAAACTCCAACCTGTAGCAAGTCACTAGCGAGCATCAGATTAACTTTCTATAGTTTGGTTTGTAAGGATTAGTTATGTTTTACGGGTTGATCACGGATTGATATCAGTTAGAGAACCATTGAAAACCAGGGAGTACTGGACAGCTGCTGTTTCATCCTAGTTTGGGAATCATCGTCAGTACGCACCCACTGGGATTCGAATCCGGGACCTTCCGGTTACAAGGCAAGCTCGTATACCATTCAGCCACTGGGACCCGATTCAATGGCTCGTGAATTCTAACTTCTACTAATTCGTGATTTAGCGCGACCCCAACCACTGCCGATGATTCCCAAACTAGGATGAAACAGCAGCTGTCCAGTACTCCCTGGTTTTCAATGGTTCTCTAACTGATATCAATCTGTGATCAACCCGTAAAACATAAATATAACTTTATAAATGTCTACTTTTCACTCAGCGCTCAATTATTTTGCAACTATCCCGTGAAATCTTGATCACAGTACATATGAATAAAGCTTTATTGTTAGCAGTAATTTACGCTTTCTATATGAAACAAGTCAAGGATTTCTTAATAAAAAGCTTAAACAAAATACCTTAACGATTTCGATAATTTTCTATGCGTTAAACATATGTCGTAGTTGCCTAAAGTACCAGTCAGTAATCATGACCACTGGGGTCAACCAGATTAGGCATGAAGACAAATACTCGTGAATAACACTGACTGCAGGTTTCGTAGAAATCACGAATTGGTAAAAGTTAGAATTCATCAGCCGCTGGATTCGGTCTAAATGGCTGAATGATCGACAAGCATGATCTCAAAACTAGAATGTCTTTAGTTGGATCCCTAGTGGTAGGGTCATGGATGAGTGCTGCTCAGGATTCCCGAACGAGAAGGAAACAGGTGTTCAGTACTCAATAAATTTAAGTAATTCTCTAATTGATATCAATCCATGAATAAATCTAACACACATTGAATCCCTATAAACTAGCTGTTCAACATTAAACACATTTGTTGAAAATCTTTGAAAGTACTAGTAGTGGAACAGTCACAGTTATCCAGAAGTACTGTTCAATACACACTGAATCTAGGTGAAAGTTTGTTCGTTACGGATGCATTTTCAATCACTGAAATAACTGATCACTTCTCCATTTCTTGATCAAAACATAATTGATAGCAATGAATGATAATACCTTAGAACGTATACACTGTTAAACCATTATATGACTTGAAATAGTCGAAACGTTTCAACTTGAAGAAATTAAGATTTTCAAAGGGATTTATCAGATTTCATTGATCCAAGTCAAAAATAATATATCCAACAACAAATACCAGTATTCGTGAGGATTCATTTCTTGTACAAATGATTGTTGCTGAGGTTTGGAGTATTTGTAACCATCAGGTTCACTAGTTCCAACCAGTTACTGCAGACTATGATGAACAGTTGCCTTTCCTCCATATGTCCGGGAAGAATTAGAGCCAAGGAACTCTTCGGTGCATTGAAGCAACCAACAACCTACTACTCAACAAAAGTGCTCAAGAAAATGGAGATAGATAGGTCAGACACTAAGGAGATTGGTGGCTGACATCGTGATTTAGGCCTTTTCTTGAGTGGAACTCATATCGGAAACGGTAATTTAGGCGTTAGTCCAAGGATAAAATGGAGGGTGTCATGTGAGGGGGAGCATACGGGTCAGCTATCGGGCCAGCTAAAGAGGACTGCAGAGAATATAACAGAGTGAAAATGTCCTGCTGAAGAACTATCTTCCCTCAGAACCTATGGAAATAATAAAGAAATACGGTTAATTTTGACTTTCGACATGAAATGGTCTATTTAGGGGGGTATTTATTTACTGGTGTGAAGTATGTAATGGTATTGTGTGAAGTGTCATTTTGCAATTAGTAGTGTTCTATGAGCTGTTTGGTTTAGTTGCAGAGCTTTCGTCGCCCTTCTGGACAATATCTTCAGCGCAGTTTTTAGCATACACTGAACTGACTTAAATTTTCCATGAGTGATGGAATTGCGTCTCTCCTGGTAACCATCTTTACATATGTTGTGGTCATTTGTTATTGACTTGGATTTTGAACTTTCTCGTCATATGGGTTTCTTTTTATTAGTTGGAAGATTTGGTCTATATTAACATGTTTGTTAACTGCATATTTCTTTGAGTACCAGACTTCTAGGAATTCCCTAGGACTTTTGGTATTTCCTGTCTCTAAAATTTTGACATCATCCCAATCAAAGTGATGTCCACAATTATCTACATGCATTGATATGAAAGAATATATATATATCATGTCTTTTCACAGCTAATTTGTGTTCCTGGATTCTGATTCGAAGGGGACGTCCACTTTAATCGACGTAATGTCTGTTACAGTTCGTAGAATTTATTTTGTAAATTTCTGTTGGATGGGTCTTGCAGTTTGCACAGTATCAAATGAAGTGATTAGACTGGCTCATGTGCTATATCTATGTCAAATGGTTTTAATATTCTAGCTGTTATTCCAGAGATATTTTTTTATATATAGTAGAATGAATTTTCCTGTAGTCTTTTATGTTGGTTTCTTGTTGGTGTCGTGATTCGATTTTAAACCCTTATTGATGAAATTGTTTGGGGGATATCCATTCCTTTGGAAGACAGTTACTAGGTATTTTTCTTCTATTCTTTTCAACGCTGGAGTGATACAGTGTGCTTGAATTCTTTTAAACAATCTCTACACATAGTTTCTTTTGTGAGTAGTTGGGTTATTGCTACTATAGTTGAGTATTCGATCTGTGTGCGTTGATTTTCTATATACTTGTGTTTCTGAATTTCCTGTGTTAGCTCTCCTGATTAAGACATCTAAAAATAGGACTGTGTCATCTAACTCTTCTTCTCTTGTGAATTCGATGTCTTCAGATATGTTGTATATTAATTTATGGGTATATTCTAAATCACATTTCTTTTGATTAGTTCAAATGTATCATCGAAGTAACGTACCCAGACTTTTCATTTAATTATAGGTAGGGTTATTAATTCTAATCTTTGCATGACGGCTTCAGCTATTAATCCTGATATGGACGATCCCATCGGTGTCCCTTTTATCGATTCGTATATTTGAATATATCTGTCTTTTTTTTTCTCAGCGTGATCCCTTCTTATCTATTCTTTGTTTATGCCTTCTCTCCGTTTCGTATTCAATACACAGAAAGACTATTTAGCAATGAAATTAACTTTGGGCATGGCAATAAGCACTTTTAAACATCATGTACAACAACAATTACAGCAGACCAGTGTTGTACAAGGAAGTGATGGATTCTATGCATCATTAAAGAACACAACACTGAGAATTCCAGTGAGGTCAGATTTAAGCTTGGCGGTTACATTTAATCAATATCCTGAACAAAGTCAAGCTGCTTTAGACTTCTATCTGATTAATACGTATACATGTGATAGTAATAGTATAAATGCCACCTCTGCTACTACTATTACAACATGCATTCAAGTGTATTCGACTATGATATGGCCAGATTATAATGTCAGTACTACGCTTTTGATGAGCAGTTGGCAGCTGGCTGCAAGTTTACAACAAGGTTCAAATATTACGAATGTGTACCAAGTGAGTTTATCTTTGAAAGGCTTTCAGTATGAAATTTAATAGCTGAGTTTACAATGTAGACATTAAGGCGTCTTAAGTGAAATAGAAACTTGTGCTTTCATCCTAACCACTTCACTGATTCGTCTATCAGTGGAATCCTGACGTTTATGTTCAGAGAAGGGAAAATTTCCCCCGTATAGTGCCATAATTGTTACCAGCTTATTTCCATTAGGTTCATACATACAACTTGTCCTGTTACGGTTAACTTTATGCTGGATTTATTCATCTTAAGAAATTAGAAATGGCTATTAATATGTGTGAATTGCCAAAGAGTTGCAACATATCAGATATGAAATTGAGCAATTAAAGCAAAAGCTAATGGGAATAATTACCAGTGTGGGTTATGATCTTATAACACAGTCCTCTAACAATGCCTCTAATATCGTATAATGATTGTCAGATCAAATACATAGATCAGAGTAGTAGAACAGGGTCAGTGAGTCAGCTTAGCGGAGCAGCACAAAAGCTAGAACAAACTACATTAATTGACCCGAATAAGATAAGAAATCTAGAGAATAGTTCAGCTATAGCACTCACTACATGCAGTTACACACAACCACACCAATAGGCTGGATGGGATAAGATGACAGTTTTAAAATCTAATGTAACAACGGGGTGAAGAGAGGGATTGATAACAGAAGCTTTGTGTTATCAAATCAACTGCAAATACGTGTAATAGGAATGATTCAACACCTGTCGAAGACGGATATCTGAAAAATTCTATTACCACAACGACGACAAATTGGAGAGAACAAAGAAAACTATAAAACTCAAGTTGTGAAGTCGTGTGATTATAATTGATGGAATGATTATGAACAATAAATTTTGTTTGAAAGTGTTTCATCCAGAAAATAATACCGTTTTACTGAGTGATATATCTTATAAACAAACTAACATGGTAGAAATGGCTATCATCAACAGATTCAATGCATCCGACCTCTTTGTAAGCACAGTTAGACACTCTCTTGTAAGCAAGTAACCTATAGACCTGGATATTTTTTGAAAGTATATGATCTAACTTCTGGTATATAAATACTTTAAGGGAGAGTTTCAGAGCATATGCCTAGATTTCTGATGATTATATCAAGTATCCATTACGTAATCACCATTCCATGAAGTTACGGATGTTTTCTTACATTATCGTGTGGATATGAGTGTCTTTGATTTATGAAGAAACGACATAAAAACGAATGAATTTTCATTTCCACTCCTAGGGATGATGATGATGCCTACTTTTACAAATAGAGAATAGTTTATTCTCCTTGCGAATTACCAATGTATTGGAACATGTGCTGGATAATCGCCCAGCAGACGACGTCTTATTTAAATGAAACGTTTCACGCCAGTGGCACGTAATGCAGACACTTTTATTTCCGATACCAGTATCCCAGTTTTGGTGGTCACATAAGTGCTCTACTGATGTTGAAGACAAATTTAGAATATTGTTTTGCTAAACATTTTAGCGATGTCTGTCAACAGAAGTGGTTGACCTAACCAGTGATTGAAGTCCTAAGCTAGGTGACAGACTTAAGCTAAGATTGGTTAGTCTTACCAGCATAGTCGTATATATTCTTCCTGAAAGATATTTAATACATGAGTAAGTGCTCTTACAAAAGAAACGGCTCTTAGGAAATCAATCATAAAAAAGCTCTCATGACTTATACTGTTTACATTGTATAGAGGGAATAAAGTACATAAGGTTAAATAATAACACCGGCAAATGAGCAGTATTCTGGAACCACTGGATTAAATCATGGTTTTATAAATCCACACAAAATGACATGCGAAGTTACTGTCTGGCCAGAATTATGTAATCTCATCTCATTAATCAAACGCATCCAAAGAACCTTAAACAAGCTCACCAAAGCAGGTCAGATCACAAAACAAGACCATTGGCGAATGAAATCTAAACGCCGATTCTACGGCAGACCAAAAATTCACAAACCGAATAACCCGTTATGACCAGTTGTATCACTTCCAAGGACTCGAATATACAATTTGTCCAAAGAACTATACAGAAAATCGAAGCACTCAACGGATTCCTGTGATGACTCCATAAAATCTCCAATCCAATTTCTACAGAAAACCAAAGACATTCAAATAGATGACCAAGAAATAATGGTATCAGGATTTCATCATGAGCTGACATTAGTTAGAGAACCATTGGAAAACCTGGGAGTACTGGACAGCTGTTTCGTCCTAGTTTGGGACTCTTCAGCAGTACGCACCCACCGGGATTCGAACCCAGGACCTTCCGGTTACAAGGCGAGCTTGTATACCATTAAGCCACTGGGACCAATGGTCCTTGAATTCTAACTTCTGCCAATTCACGATATAGCGCGACCGCTAGCCAATGTCTTCGGCGAGTATTTGTCCTCACACCCGACCAGCTGCACCCTACTGGTCACGACTTCCTACTGGAACCCAGGTAACTACCTACCTGAATAGGGCCAGTCGCCAGTGAGCATCTCATTACAAGCTCGCCTTGTAACCGGAAGGTCCTGGGTTCGAATCCCGGTGGGTGCGTACTGCTGAAGAGTCCCAAACTAGGACGAAACAGCTGTCCAGCACTCCCAGGTTTTCCAATGGTTCTCTAACTAATGTCAGCTCATGATGAAATCCTGAAACCAATCAAATCCCTACAAACCAACACTTGAAATAATGGTATCGTTCGATGTAACAGCATTATATACTTCAGATGGACAGAAAATAGCTAGACAGTCTATGGAGCAGTTATTCAGCAACGATGAACACCTCCCACAACAATCGAAAATGCAACAAACAAGTAGCATGGAATGTATAAAACTATGCCTAACAACGTACTTTCAGTTCAACGGCCAAATATATGAAAAAGTTAAACGAACACACACATGGCATCAACATCAAGTCAGCCTACCAAATCAAATGCCCCCAAGCAAAGCACAAAGAAAATCACCCTACCATGTATAAAGGAAATCTCAGAAATCACTGCGAGATTCTTCAAACCTTTACGTATATTCGTCACACACACACAAACCAACAAAATCACTTCACTCAGCTCTATATCAACTAAGAAACTCAATAATTAAAGGAGATAAAATCAACATCATCTACAATATAAGTTGCAGAGACTGCAAAAAACATTACATTATCCCAAATGGACATCCTCTCTGCCTTCGTATTCATGATCACAAACTGGTCGTCAGACGACATCGCATCGACTCCCTTATATCTCCTCACTGCAAACAGACAACCATGGACATCGATTCGACTGGGACGACCAACGTTCAAATATTAGACAGAGGAAACATCAAGAATGCCAAAGAATTTTTAGAAGCCTGGTATTCTAGTGAATCATCAATAAATACATACATTGACATAGGCAAAATTTAACAGTCTACAAGTAGGAAATTTCACGTACAAAGAGTCGAACCTCAGGTTAACGAAACAACCAATAGCAATGCGAAACACCTAGAGGGTGCGAAAATGCAAAAGCAACCAGTCACGTTCAAGGTCCCCAGTAGAGGTGACTAAGTAATCTGAGAGCTCACTTCAAATTGAAGTATGAACTGAGGATGTTGCCTAGTAGGACAATGAAAGCTTCGCAAATAAACCATCCAGCCTAGAGAACACAAATACACTAAACAGAGTTAAATTTTTCTCTCAATGGTATGAAGCGAAAAATAATGAAGTCAGTATATGATTTACTTTTCTCAATATTTGTGTGTTTTCTTATATAGATAATGGGATCGTAATGGCACTCATATTCATGTCGGTATTGACTGCTGTAATCGCCTTTTCATTAATTGCATTCTTTTTAGCCAGGTGAGTTCCAGATTTATTCCACAGTGTATAAGGTTAACAAATAATCATGATTTGTCCAAGTTAATTTTGGTTTTCCCACTGGCTGCTTGAACTGAAATATTGAAACTTCAGCCCCTAGTACGGAAGCTTCCACAGTGTTTGAGGATTAGTATGAAGTAATTTTATGAACAGCGACTAGCAGTGTTAGAATATAGGATGCAGATTTCTCCCTGTTTGAGATTCGTCAGGTGAATGAACCTACAGTCCTCAAAAAGTGATGGTGTTCCCGATTGAGACCTGACGAGGCCTTTTCCCGATAAACCCAATGGACCACGAGAGTCACCTCTTGTGCAACCAGTCAAAAGAGGGTTAATGTAAAAAATCTGATTTCAACGAATATCAACTGAAACCCTTTACACAAAAATTGGCTATCATGGCGCAAAAGTTCTGTTGGATAACTTTTTGGTGTTTGAAAGGAAGGGTACTGGACTCGAGTTTCAGTAGAAACGCTGTCACACACTGGTGATTGTAGGTACACATAGATGATGGTTCCCAAATAAGGAGAAATTCTCATCCTGGATACCACTGCTATTTATCATCCGTCAAAATATTTCGAAACTCTGTAAAGGGGTCCACAAGATGATCACCCCACTTCATTTTACGTTATGTGCACTAGGCAGTGTGCAAAGTGTGCGCGAAGGGTAGCCTCAAGTGATTTCTAGTCTGATGTCGCACCGGCACATGTAAGTTGTAACTATCTCAATATGAAGTGAAGCATGCCATCAACAAATAACTTAAAACAAAATAGCATGCTTGGTAAAGAAATGTTGTCGGCTTAAAGATTAAATAAAAATCTGGATCCTTACAGAATTCTGGGTTACTGATCACGACAAATAACTTCTGGCAAACTGGCTTTTTGAACAAAAAGGATCTAGGTGTGCAGTCAGTTTCGTTTATCTAAACGAAGACTAAAGTTGGCTTCATGATTTACTTTGTCGGCTTCTCATCAACTGTGTACAGTCTAAATAAATGAATACAGTTTGTGCACAAAACAGCTTTAACACGAAAAAATCACAAAGCTAAACATTACGTTTCTTTTTGGACAACACGCTGTATGGTGCAACCAAAAGTCGACGGATAACCCTCCCATGTTAACTCTAAGTGTTTACACAAATGTACCAGTTACATAGAGAAAATAGTAAGAAGGGTACACCTTCCATCTCCTGAACATGTACCAAGACGCCTACGCCTCAAGGGTAGAAATGGTTTCATTAATGCCATTACCAGGCATCACATTGAACCGGATCATGTAGTCGACACAAAGAAATCTTTTGAAATCATAAGTAGACAGTACTGACTAATTCTCCTCAAGTTTCCCTAAGCCATCGCTATCAAAAGCTTGAAACTTTATTTTCCTGTTCAGAAACGAGCAGTTGTCAGTGTTTCTTTGCCCTAGTAACTGGTGGCTTTCACTCTGTCTCATTTAATTGAGTGCGAAATCTTCAACTCTGAACTCTGTTTGTCTCTTGTTTCTTTGATTTGAGTAGAACTTACCAAATTGTTAGTCAGGTCACTAGTTACTCATCATTCCACCCACCTTTTGCCTTTATTACTCAACTTCTTTTCTATCGTATCCAAGCAATTTTTGAACCTTTAATGTACAAATTAAACAAGTGTTATTTCTGAGCACTGTTTATTAGGTTTGGCGTCTCCTGTCAACTGACACTATGTATTATTTGAAAGTACCTTAAATTTTTTTCCGTAAATAAACTTAGTAATTTCTTTAGGCTATACGCAGGTGATAAGTAGGCGACAAAACAAACGGTGGTACCATCTTATTCTGCATAAACTCGTTGTTTTTGCTCTTTTGAAATTCATAAAGAATGCATGAAGTGTATGAAAACCAAAGCATTGGTAGTTAGAGGAACATAGAATCTCGATTTTGTGACATTTTCAACATTCTTTCATATATGATTAGAATTTCCGAATGTGAAATCATGTAATTTTCAAGTATTAGTACAAAAAATATATATAATCGGATGTAAAACGAGGCTTTACGTAATCACTTTTGCATTCATTGCCTTTCCAGAACGGAAAGTACTGATTTAACTTAATTTAGAGGAAGCAATTTAGCCTGTTGGATATTATCAATTCTTCTCAATGAATCCTGGGGGAAAATTTGAAGACATCTAGAAGGGTTCCATGATGTGGTTCAGACCACTATCTAGTAGAAGGGACTTTCAAGGTGAAACTAAAAGCCTCGAGGATAGCTGGGGATAGGTCACAATTCAAGTTCAACACCCAATTACTGAAGGACACAACCACAAAGGACACTTCACTGCAACTGTCAGAGCAAAGCAGGAAACACTACGCGACATCACTGAAGTATCATGCGTAGAAGAACATTGGAAGTCTCTGAAGGCGATTCTCAACGAAACGTGTTCAACGGTTCTAGGAAGAAAGAAGAGACAAGACAAGGAATGGCTCTCAATGGATACTTGGAAATTAATAGAAGAGAGGAGAATGGTGAAAGAGAAAATGATTCAATGTAAGGACGGACAGGAGAAGGAGACGCTGAGCTCAACTTACACAGCACTGGACAAAGAAGTGAAGAAGAGTGCTAGGAAGGACAAAAGACGATTCTACGACAACCTAGCCACTGAAGCTGAAAAGGCAGCAGGCAAAAGGGACCTGAGGACACTATATCAGATAACCAAATCTCTATCCGGGAAGAGACCAACACAAGCGAAACCTATAAAAGACAGCCAAGGGAACCCAATTACCAAGGAAGAAAAACAGATTAAACAATGGGCGGATCACTTCAAAGGACTCTTGAACCGACCATCACCTGCAACCCGTCCAGAAATACCAACAACAGCGCGCACACAACTGCAAGTTGACACCAATCCTCCAACGAAAGCTGAAGTCTTGAATGCAATCAAACTTCTGAAAGCTGGAAAAGCAGCTGGACCAGATGGAATACCCCCTGAAGCACTGAAAGCGAACCCAGAGACTACAGCAGACATGCTGACTCCATTATTGCAAAAGGTCTGGAAGGAGGGAAAGGTGCCTACTGACTGGAGGAAAGGTTACCTCGTGAAACTACCAAAGAAGGGCGACTTACGCCTTACTGTGCAAGAACTGGCGAGGAATCATGCTCCTGTCGACGCCAAGTAAAATCCTGAGTCGCATCATCCTGGAGAGATTAAAGGACGCACTGGAGACAGAACTCCGACCAGAACAAGCTGGATTCAGGAAAGGCAAATCATGTTCTGACCAAATTGCAACTCTACGCATCATCATCACAGAACAAAGCATGGAATGGCAATCAAACCTCTACCTCAACTTTATAGACTTTGAGAAGGCCTTCGACAGCGTTGGTCGCGAAGTAATTTGGAAATTACTCGAGTACTATGGCGTACCCCAAATATTCATCAACCTTATTCAACAGCTGTACAACAACGGCACATGTCAAGTGATCCACAACGGAAAACTCAGCGAGGCGTTTGGAGTAAACACAGGAGTCAGACAAGGGTGCTTATTATCACCAATGATATTCCTAATTGTGGTGGACTGGATTATGCGTCAGACTGTGGGAAACGAGAAGACAGGAATATCCTGGACCGACGTGAAGAACCTAGAAGACCTGGATTTCGCGCGTGGATGATTTATGTTTGATGTCACTCACAAAATCGAAGACTTACAAGCGAAAACCGACAAACTGGTCGAAGAAGCAGCCGGCGAAGACAGGACTCCAGGTGAACACAGACAAGACGGAGGTTATGAAAATAACCAACCAACAACAGCAGCAACATCCAGCACCAATCACCATCAACGGGAGGGACTTGAAATAGGTCACTTCATTCACTTATCTAGCGAGCATTGTCTCAACTACAGCCAGTCGGAACGGACGAGGATGTCAAATCGAGAGAGAATCGGGAAGGCGAGAAACACACTCATCAACCTGAAATCAATCTGGAAATCTTCGTCACTCACCATCAACAACAAAATTCAGTCGGATTTTCAATGCAAACGTCAAGTCAGTCAGTTCTTCTATACGGATAAGAAACTTGGCGGGCGGGTCACAAAGAATATTTCCAACAGGCAGTTGCAGACCTTTATCAACAACTGTCTTCGCTCAATACTGAAGATCAGATGACCGGGCCGGAAAGAATCACCAACAAGAAACTATGGGAACAAACAAACAAAACAAGAACCAATCGCCAGCCAACAAATATGCAGGAGAAAGTGGATTGAGATGGATTGGACACTCGCTGAGGAGGCGGCCGTTGGGTGACATCGCGCGCGCGTTAGGCCATTGCTCGAGTGGAACAGGCCAAAAGGGAAGTGGCGATTGGGATGTCATGCAAGGGTGACATGGAGGAGATCGTGTGAAGAGGAGTTGAAACAGTATGGACTAACATGGATTCAGGTAAAATGTACAGCAGAAGGAAGATAGAAGTGGCAAGTGAAGACGTGCAGTTGAAGCCGCATGTTCCACTAGGAACCCAAGGGAGCAATAATAATAATAAGCAGGGTTCCGTAACTTCAGATGATTAACAGGCCAGTGTAATTGAACAGCTTTAAGTGAACTGTTTATTTAATTTTATTATTTAATATTATTCCTTTGGGTTCTGAGTGGAAGATAAGGCTTCGGAAACACACCTCCACTTTGTTCGATACTCCTCTGTTCTCTTCATCTGGGTCCACGATTGCCCGTAATCTCTCATCTCCTCCAAATCAAACGATTGCCTCCATATCACCCTCACACTGACGACCATCTCGTGGCTTCCCATTCAGACTCCACTACAGCGATGTTCTAGAATTAGGGCGATGTTATTCAACGGTTTCCTCAGTGTATGCCAGATCAATCCATCTCTATTTTCTCCCACATATTTGTTTAGCGGTCGACTCTCGCCTGTTGGTTTTTCGCCAGTTGACCAGAGTTTCCTGTTGTTAATTCTTTCTGGCTGGTTAGCTAGCTGGCCATTTGATGTTCAGTGTGGAGCCAGTGAAGTGGG